TATGAGTATGACACTTATCTGTATCAGGGTATGACACGATTACATGAGATTTCTTCAGGTTTAGTATTTAGGGATTTATAATTTGAGATACAAGGTATATACATGAGGGTTTCCTTGTTTGGATTATTTCGCTCGACGTACCTATGCTCGTGTTGTAATTTCCTAAATACTAAAACTCATTATTTGCTAGGAGTAATGATTTTAACTATTATGTAATAATTATATTTTCTGTATACAACGAGCCCTTTTCCCTTGGGGTTGGTTGTGATGTTGCTCGCTAGCGCTTTGACGCTCGTTGTCCCTCCCCTTTCAGGTAACGATTCAGGAGTCCGAAGAGTCGTAGGTTGATGGCGGCACGCTTTAGTGTTCAGCTGACTATTTTTAGATATGTTTTATTTTGGAGCTCCACTGTAGATTTTGTTTAGATATTTGAGGACTTTATTCTAGATGTTGTAAAGGCTGTGTGCCTTACTTCCTTTACTCAGACTTGTTGTATTTGAGAGTTGATAAGAACTCCAGTTTATTCATTTCAGATATTGACTTTGTATTTCTATATGTTGGATGATGAAATATTATTTTGATCTCTTTTATTTTATCAGTATCTCTTGTATTATCTTTTACTTGCTTTTGTACCTATACCTGTTGTTGACTCTACTAGAGAGATGTTAATTGTGATGGTGAAACATGTTATTGCACGGTGTGGTGCATGGCAGGTTTGACATTCTTGGTTTCACCGAGGACTGCAGCCTTGTGTGAACCCAGGGGCGTCACATTACCAGTAGGGAAGAAGGCTTTGAGTAATAAATTGGTGTACAGAATCAAGGAGGAACATGATGGTTCCAAGATATACAAGGCAATGTTGGTGGTCAAAGGATTTCAGCAGAAAAGAATTGACTACACAGAAATCTTCTCTCCTGTAGTCAAACTGATTACCATCAGATCGGTTCTGAGTATTGTTACAACTAAAGATCTACATCTCGAGCAGTTAGATGTGAAGACAACTTTCCTTCATGATGACCTAGAGGAAGAAATATACATGCAGCAGCCAGAATGGTTCACTCTAAAAGACAAAGAAAGGATGGTCTGCAGATTAAAAAAGAGTTTGTATAGTCTGAAATAAGCTCCAAAACAATGGTACAAAAAGTTTGATGGATTCATGCATAGGAACGAATACTCCAGGTGCAATGTAGATCATTGTTGTTTCTTCAAGAAGCTTGACACCAGCTACATTATCTTGCTACTATATGTCGACGATATGCTAGTGGCCGGTTCAGACTTGGGTGAGATCAAGAAGCTGAAGAAGCAGTTGTCGAGTGAGTTTGACATGAAGAACTTAGGCGCAGCGAAACAGATATTGTGGATGAAGATTAGCAGAGATAAGCTCTTGGGCACATTATGGTTATCTCAGGCCGATTACATTAGAAGGGTGCTTGAGAGGTTTGGAATGAGTGGTGCTAAGTGTTGTGCGCAGCGAAAATTTCGGCAGAGTTTCTGGTGCATAATAAGAGAGAAAGATCCCAATAAGAATTCTCGTCTCACCAAGGAAACAAGAATCTGAAGCGAATATCTCAACAAAGTGAGATATCGGCTCTTCCTCTCATCAGGTCTAGGACTGACTTGTCGAGGGATCCTAAAACTATTACAATGGTCACAAACACAAACAAACCAATTTTACGTGGTTCGGCAAACTGCCTATGTCCACGGGACAAGGAGGGGGAGATCTACTATTAGAGGGAGATAAAATAACTAGGGTTTACAATCACTCAATCTAAACCCTCACACAATCTCTCAAACCTCTCATACAAATATCTCTCTCAAAAGCACAAAAGGACTCTTTGCACGCCACCCAAAAAGAACGCTACCAACACTTTTGCACCCGCCAGGACTCTTTGCACGCCACCCAAAAAGAACGCTACCAACACTTTTGCACCCGCCACGAATTTTCCCCCTGCTCTGTTTCGCACTTGCACGCCAACCAAAGAAAGAACTCTGCTGACTTTTTTTCTCCTTACACAGCCGCCTTTCTTTGCTGCAGTTTTCACCAAGCCCTTGCACCGAAAACCTAGGAACAAAATTGTTCCTATATATAGCCTGGCCCCTCACTCAAATCTCTTCACGCGTTTTATTTTTCCATGCCCTTAGCCATTCACGTGGTTTTCCCATGTGGCCCCCACAAGCAACAAAAAATGCGTTCACACTAAGGTCGTTAACACACCTTTAGCTAGTCATTTCAGGTTGATTAAAAACAGTGTCCAGTGACTGATGAGGAGAAAAATTACATGATGAAGGTTTCATATTCGTCAGCCATTGGAAGCCTTATGTACGCCATGATGTGCACGAGACCTGACGTTGCCCATGCAGTGAGAGCTGTGAGCAGATTCATGTCAGATCTAGAAGAGAAGCACTGAGAAGTAGTAAAGTAGATTCTAAGGTACCTACGAGGTACAATAGAAAATTGTTTATGCTTCAAGAGAGATAATTTGGTTTTGTAGGGTTTTGTTGATGCAGACTATGCTGGTGAGATAGATCAGAGAAGGAGCACTACAGGATATGTGTTCACTTTAGGTACTACAGCCATCAGTTGGGTTTCTCAGTTGTAGAAAATCGTTGCTTTATCGACTATAGAGGCAGTATATGTTGATGTGTCAGAGGCTAGCAAAGAGCTGATATGGTTGCAAGGATTCTTGAAGGAGTTGGGACAAAAAAGTGAGAAGAGTGTTTTACACTGTGATAGTCAGAGCGTCATTCATTTGACAAAGAACCCAGCTTTTTATGCCAGGACCAAACACATACAGGTCTGTTATCACTTCATAAAGTTAGCATTGGATGATGACATGCTAAAACTTATGAAGATTCAAGGAAGCAAGAACCCGACTGATATGCTTACAAAGGCTGTAACTACGGAGAAACTAAAGTTGTGTTCAACTTCAGTTGGCCTCATTACTTGATGATATGGGAGGCCGTCACCGCAAGGAGAGATAATAGAGATTGAAAGTTAGTTTTCAAGTGGGAGATTGTTATGTTATATGGAGCCTAACTGTCAGGCTTGCCCTATACTTCTATTTGAAGAGGAAACAGGAAGAATTGAAGAAACAAGAACGACGGCGTTGAAGTTCAGGCAAAACGACGAAGGAAACAGTTTGGGAGCTTCACGATCGACCGCGAGTGGCGCGGCGGTCGACCGCGAACGTGCACAAGACCACGAAAAGTCTCTGGACTTTTGGCGGTCGACCGCGACAGCATGTGCGGTCGACCGCGCTAAGCCCTGTAATTAGAATTTGGTCTCTGGATTTTTTGCGGTCGACCACGACTGTCTCTGCGGTCGACCGCGAGTCGGGTTTTTGGGCTTGAGCTATTTTTTCCTGAATTATTTTCAGAATCCTGTTTGTATTAACCCTTATGTTATTAAAGGGGAGATTAATGTAACTTGTAAGATTGACGAAAATAGTAAAATTTTCTCCAACGACGACCGTGGACGTAACTTCTCTCATCGAGAAGTAAACCACGTAAATCTTATGTGTTTTGTGTGATTGTTTTCTCTCTCTTCTCTCTCATCTCTATTTCCAAATCACATCAGGGGTTAGATAAAACCCTAACACATAAATGGTGTTATGAACAAAAGAAGCCAATTCATCAATGAAAGACACAAGATTTTTGAGATGAACAATGAAAAGATGCTAATATCTTCGTTTGAAGAGGCAAAGTTGAATGGAGTTAAATGGAGGAAGAAAATGAAGATGAGCCAACAAGATTTTGTGTCTACTTTGTTGGTTACTTGCACTTACTTTGGAAACAATTAAATTATGTGGAGCTCAAGCTCAAGTGCACAAAGTCTCCAAAATCACATCAATCAATATTGGAAGCTGTTCAAAAGCGTCAATTCCAAGTTGAAGATATTTTCACAAAACCCCTCGAACCTCAAAATTTTCGAAAGCTGGGAAGACAACTTAGTGTTACCACTTTGGAAAATCAAGTTTAAGGGAGGCTATTGGAAATTAAACTTGATTTTGATTAATTAGAAGTAATAATTTTCATTATTAGAGGAGTTACCATATTACGAACCATGGGAGTTACAAATTGATACGCCGGGAGTTATGTTGAATAATTGTCATTATATGCATAGGAGTTATGTTGAAGAGAATTAATGTCATGAACGTATTAGAGTCTCCTAGGTGCTATATAAAGTCATGTTATGTAGTCATTTGATTTGAGATATGGCCAAAATGTATAAAAGCTCAAATTCCTCCTAGATATTTTATCTCATCTATAAATTTTATCTTTTATCTCATCCACATAAAATATTGTGGTATTAGACAAGGTTTTAAATATCAGTTGTCGGGGAATTTATCGAACGGTCAAAATCTATCAGATAGTAGATATCAGGGATAAGTAGTATTTATCAGAGTGACAATACCGGATGGTGATATACATAATATAATATTCTAAAATATAATCTAACCCTGAAATATACACATACCAAAATGTAAATATACACATACCAAAATGTAATATAATATTCTAAAATGTAATCTAACCCTGAAATATACACATACCAAAATGTAAATAATTATGTTTAGGATCACTAACCAATGGTAGAAACTCGGGTCGGGTCGGGTTTAAAGTGCATTGAATAGGTGCCTATTGCCCGGAATCTAAACTCAAACCAAATGTCGATAATTCCGATTTTGGGCTAACAATATCGGTCGATAACTCACTTTATCGCCGCATTATCGGCGATAAACATCCAAAAGCAATAATCGGTTTAGAATTGAACTTATCATAGCGGAAGGCCACAAAAACCGATAAATCGCTGACAATATTAGTTTATTGGCCGATATTTAAAACATTGGTATTAGAGAATTACTGTCCACTATATTAGATCCTTCAAATTCGAGTGTAGTGATAACTCTCTTGTTTTGCAAGTTGTTTTGCTTATAACAACAATTCTTTGGAGTTGCAAAAACACCAACCCAAACATGGGCGTTGAAATTTAGATTTACCTCATAGCTCTTGGTGTCTGGTCCATGAGGTGTCATGCAGCTATGAAGGCTGGCACCTCCGGGAAGAAATCCACCTGCTTTCGCCTACAAGAAATATCGATAAGATGAACTGGTGAACTAAGGCCCTCCATTTGGCACTAACAATAATAAGCTGGGTAAATTACATAAAAATCTTCACATGAACTGTAGGAATCACATAGAATCCCTCTACAGTTTTAAAAGTGGCTCTTTACCTCCACATTTTCAATTTCCAGTCAAAATACATCATTTTTCTTTATTCAATCATCAACTTTTAATATAACAATCATATACATATTTATAGTGGATACAAATAATTGTCATATATTATGATACTAGATTTTCCATGTAAGTTACTTCTTAAAAACTGTAAATAAGTGGTCAAGCTATCACTTTTGCAACCCTAAGGGGGTTTTTCTATGAATCACCCTAACAAGCTAAAATGAAAATGAATCCACCGAAATTACGCATTATATACTCTGCTAATTAGAATGGCAAGGAAACCCGTATTCTCACAGTGGAAAATATTGGGTTTCTTCTTTTCTAGTAAAAAATGTGTTTCTATCATCGTTATACGAAACATGTGGAAGATAGTTCATTGTTTCTCAACTTTTTATGAGCTACGGTAGTTTTTATGTTACTTTTTCACAAACCAGCTTGATAATAAGCAGATAAGTATCTCTCTATTGTTTAAAAAATCAAACTTACTATCATAAGTTCGATAAAGAAGTACCTCATATGCACCATATATTAAGCCCATGAATTCACTCATACAATTCCGATGATAATATGGAGGTCGAAAAGTGTGCTCGGCAACCAACCATCTCGGTGGAAAGATTACAAAATCAAGCAGTGCAACACCAGGCTTATCTGATGGTGCCGTCAGCACTGAGATGCAATAATAAAGTATAAGGTACAAAATTTCTGCTTTTGTCTCTCAACACTATTATATAGTCAAATGGAGCACAAGGGATATTGACAAGGCCTCATACCTGTATTTATTGAAGGATCGCCATGATCGACTAAAACAGTGTTAAATGGGCAAAACTTACTAAGATCATACTGTGAAGAAGAAAGAAATCACCTCTCATTAGCAAACCGTTAATGTGAAACTTGGAAAATGTTAATAATGAAGTAGGGTTAATTGCGCCTCTACGCTATTGCCCAATTGTTGGATAGTCCCCTTTAATTCTATTTGTGCGGATAGACACCCCATACTATTGGCCAAGCATGGATAGGCCCCCGGAGTGTATTTCTCTCTCTCTCTCTCTCTCTCTCTCTCTCTCACCCTCTCTTTTTTATTTTTATTTTTATTTTTTTTATTATTTTGATGTTTAGAAGTGTCAAAAAAGTTCACTCAGTGGTCTGTCCGCACCAATAGAACTACAGGAGTTCAATCCGCAATTGGGCTATAGTACAGGGGGTCCATCCGCAATTAGCCTTAATCCAGTATTATTTAAATTCTTGATTACTCTCCTCTACTATCCATTGCGGATAAACCCACTGTAATTCTGTTTGTGTGGAAAGACACCCCATACTATTTCCCAACTGCAGATCCCTGAGATATTTTATATCGTTTTATTATTATCATTATTATTACTGCTTAGAAGAGTCAAAAAAAAGTTCACTCAGGTGGTTATCTGCACCAATAGAACTACATGATGTTTCTCCGCAATTGACAATAATAAGGGGTCTGTGCGCAATTAACCCTAATTAAGTATTATTTAAATGCAAGAATGGAATTTTCCATGGATCTTTGAGATCAAATAAAATATCTAAATTGTTATATTATCAAGTTTCAGTTTTGTAAATATATGCATGTAGAACACATAAATACCTTGTATGGTACATAGTTTCCATGCCAGGCAACCACATTAAATGGAGAAAAATCCTGTCTAGCAGTGAATAATTCTCCACCAAACTTTTGTACTATAGTATACCCAGGATGAGAATCATGATTAAACCAAGCAGTGGGGACAAGAAAATCCCTTGCAGATGCAAGACCATTGGCACCTAGGAAAACATGAACATATTTTAGATTGATATAGAATCTGTAATGACATTCTTACCACAAAAACTTACACGGAAACATACCGATTGGACCTAGATCAGGAAGTTGAAAATGAGTTCCGAAAATTTCAGCAACATAACCACGTGATGGCCCATCAGGTAAATCTACGGAAAAGCGAAAGCCTTGTGGAATAACAACAACTTCACCAGGGGATACTTGCAATTTTCCACATTCAGTCGTGATAAATAATCCTGGACTTGATACGAAAAAATAGAGAAATTGTAAGAAGAAGCTTTAATAGTCTTTGAATCATCATATAAGGAGATCTACTGAATATATTAGAGTCAACATCATGCAACTTTTTCTACATCAAATGCATAGAAGAGAGAGACAAATCAAAGGTTTAATGTTCTTTTTATAGAATTGAAGTAACTGATATTCTACAAAATAAACATAAGAAATCTAGGAGCTGAAAGTTCATATTTGAACAGAAAGACGATGGACATTAAGTCCTACAATATTTGCGACCTCAACGATTCAATAAGGAAAATCTGGCATTATGTAGAAACTAACTGATTTTAAGAAATTGAAAAACACCACTTACTTCCTTCTTGGGGAACTACTAAGAAATCACCATCAGCACTGCAGAAGGCACAACCATCCATGGATTTATTGGCACCGTACCTACATTTGTAAAGTTCATCCACTTGTCAGACATTACCAGCATATAAATTGTTGGATCATAGGAAACTTTTTCTGTAATGGTTTGGATTTAGTGTAAACCCAAGGCATATAAAGAAGCCAGCTGATGCCTCTGCAGATGAAACCAGAGGAGACAAGAGAGTTGACCCTTTGATGTTTTGTTTGACTGGTTGATTACACAAAAACAGTTTCAAAATTTTGCATTCAGCAAGTTTTAATGCCCTTTGGAGGTTTTTTTTAATCAGGAACCGTGGGATGGTTCTGATTGGAGTAATTACTAAACTATAAGCACAGCAGACTTGCACTCTATTCTTGTGAAAAGAAAAAAAAAAACCCTAAAGGAGAGATACTACGGGGCACACTTCAGAGAAAATTGATGAGACATCAAAGCGAAAATTGTAACTCTTGTAATCCCTTTCTTAAAGTGTACATGAGTCAGAGATTGTATCAATTCACAAAAAAACCACACACAAGGATACGACCATACACATCCTACTTTCTTAAGATATGTATATTTAACATACAATATTTGTGTAGAATTAGGCTATTTTTGCTGTGACGAATGTCCTTCAAGAGGAATTTAAAATATTAGCCCAGGTGAAAATGGGTCTACATGTTTGCAGGATTCGGACACTTGTGGATACCATATCAAATCTGATATAAACAAACATGCTAATTTCTATGAGTACAAGCATTGCCACATAGTATCAATTATAAGCATTAAAGAACAAAAAAAGAAAGAGGACCAACTAAATGAACTAAAAGCTAAATACAGAAACTCGTAGTAACAGATGAATGATACACATTACATGAGCGAAATGAATAAAAGCAGATAGAAATACCAAATTACATGTGAATTGCATATCCATATCGAAGGAAAGAACTCCCTGCTCCGCACATCGTATAAAGTCCATCAATGAAATCAGTAGGAGAACCTGGAATATCTGCAGGTTTCCAGCGAAGCTGTGTTGGATTAACAGAGCTCGTCGACTGGTTGAACTCGCTGACTAAGTATTTATGTGCAGGTACCCGGGGGTAGAATGGCTCGTGTGTGACCGAGGGTTTTATACGATACAACCAGCTGCAATAAAGAAATAATAAAAAAAGTAAACAATCAACAAGATGTAAAACTTGAAGATTTGTACGGTAAAATTAATCCAATTCCTTTGTTGCTTGATGTTCTATAAACCTTAATTCGGTTTCAACAGACAGATTGGATTTGTCGATAGGTACCACACATCAAATAATTGCCTTAAAAATGATATTGAGTCAAAGTGCTTGTTTCATGATAACTAAATTACGAAAATCGCCAATTAAGCTTTTTATAAACCTCTTCTAACCTAATAAACCAGGCCCATAAATTCAAACTTCATCTACAAGCAGCTAGCAAACAAAGCACAACTACAAACAAAACAAAACCCACCGAGTAGAATCTATACTCAACCCCCAAAATCAAACAAAAGAAAAAGGCCATAGATTAAATACATTTTTTGGGTAAACTACACTAAATTCCCATGTATTTTCAGCATTTTGTAGTAAATCCCTACGAACTTTCAAAATCACACTAAACTCCCAATAACTTCTCCGTTTTCCAGAAAACCCCTAATAAGTTTCTATATTTTGCGGATAACCCCCATAAATTAGAACTAGAAAACAATATAAAAGGGCATTTTGAAAGTTATATTGGCGGTTTTCTGCAAAGTTATTGGGGCTGTAGTGCGATCTTTAAAGTTCACGGGGGTTTAATATAATTTACCCTTTCTTCCCTTCAAAATGTCATTAATCCTTGGTTCTCATTTCTTGTCACCAACCCACAAAAGAACCCCCAATCGAGCTATAAAACTTCCCCTAACCGTAATTAACCAAATTCATAACTCCAAATTCCATATATAAACAACTAGCAAAATAGAACACGTCTACAAACCAAACCAGAAGAACTGCATACTAAATAATACGTTTCCTTTATTACTTGATTCTTACATAGATTGTATTAATTTGTCAACATGTATCATACACATAACTGTCTTAAAGTGCATTTTATGATCTCAAGTCCTTAACTCACAATAAAACCCCAATTAAGCCCGTAACAAGATATAACTACAAGTTAAAATCTCATCCACAAACAGCTGTCACACAAAACATAATACAAAACAACAACCATTAAGCAAAATGTGCAGTTGACCCTAAAAATAGAAAAGAAACTATTGAGGCAAAAAAATTAAAATAGTTACCTCCTTTGGTTGACCCTTCTAGGAGCAGTGAAGGAGGTCCCAGAGATTTGCTCAGCGTAGAGCCCATACGGGCAAATTAATGGGCTGTTCTGGCCCAACGGCAGAGCCCCAGGCAGAGCCTCAGAGGAAAAGTGGTTGCCCAGCCCAGATTGGTACTTGAGCTCAGCCCAGCCTGCAGCCGCCTTGGCCACTGCTTCATCCTCCATGATTGAGGAGCTTTAGTGAGAGAAAGTATTCACAGTTTTTAGAGAGAGAGAGAGAGAGTGAGCGTGTGAGAATGCCAACAATGGGACTTCTTTTATATATACCCGTCAAATCCCATAATTGCAACTGTGCCCCGCAGATCCAGATGCTTGCAAATTTACCGGTAGAAAGAACCGATATTGAAGATTTTTTGAGGTACTAAATTTGGGATAAAGTTTACAAATATAATAGATATGAGGGTGTATTTGCAAAAGAAAAAACAATATATAATTTCAACAAGGTCGAACCTTGTCTTATAGATTGCGTCTGTGACTGGGGAACCATTTTAGCTTGTGGACGCTGACAAGTTTCCTTTGGCAGCGAGGGTCTCTCAAATGATGGAATCGGAACCTTATCTTATTATTGTTGGGGCTGTTTTAGGTAATGTGGGGCCTTTTCTGTTAAAGTTTTTAGTTTTGGGTCATTTTAATTGGCAAATTTTATAAGAAAATTCTTCCTCAACTTTAAACTGAAACTAGGGTGCATCTAGTGCAAAGCATGACCCCCTATTTTTTTAAGCATTGCATTTTGAACTTGTCTCCTCTTAAGTCTTAATACATTTGATATAATTATTGTATACTTAAAATTATAAATCATATCTAATCCTCTATACTTAAAGAATGATCCAAGTTTTAATACATTTGATTTAGAAATCATATCTACTCCTCTATACTTAAAAAAATGATCGAAGATTTAATACATTTGATTTATTTTTCTGTTTATGATACAGTAAAAAACTGTAGCATAAATAGTAACTTTAAGCGTGGAGGAACAGATTTAATTTACTTTTTATGCTACAGTAAAATACCGTAGCATAACAGTAACTCTGAGCGCAAAAGATCAAATTTGGTTTACTGTTCGTACTACGGTATTAATGTAGCTTTTATTGTAGCATAATCAGTAATTCTTTGGATTCTCGTTCAGAAGAGTAGATTAGTTAATACTCTCACTATAATAAACTGACCGGTCAAACCTACCAGCCAAAATCAAAGTGTTTAAACTTTTTCTGTTCACGATGTTGTAGTTTTCCAACTTATTTAAAGTATCATGTAAGTGATCAAAGAATATTGTTTACTTCCATTTCTTACAAGTTTGCTAGATAAAAGACATCTACATAGGACAGTGATATTTGGTGAAAAGATATTTTAAAAGGAAGTGCATTTTGCGTAAAGTCCTAATCATACTTTACGAGTTCAAAAGTAATTACGATTAGAGCTTTCACTTTGACTTTTCATCATCACCAATTCAATTTTAATTTGGATTGAATTTTGTCCAACTCTGACATGAAAATGGACTTAGGCATGCATCTAAAGATGGGTTGAAGTCTTGAAGAGGAAAACTTGAATGTTTCTCACTTGAGATGCTGAATTATTTTCTTGTAAGAAGGATGCGCTTTTTTAATGCATGAATTTATTAACATCTCACTACTGGATTTACACCTTTTAGCGATGGACAATTTCGTCGATAAAGGTTTAAATTCCGTCGCTAAAAGTTTTAGCGACGGAAAAAATCAAATTCCGTCGCTAAAAAACCGACCCTACATTCAGGGTCCCTAATTGTGTCTTTAGCGACGGAATTTCCGTCGCTAATTTTTAGCGACGGGATATTAGCGATGAAAAATTCAACGTCGTATTTTTTTAAAAAAATAAAAAAAGTATTAGCGACGGAATTTTCATCGCTAAAAATAGTATTAGCAACGGAATTTCCGTCCCTAAAGGTTGTGTTTATTGTTTATTTTTTTCCCATGTCAGTTTTCCATTGCTAAATACGTTTTTAGCGACGGAAAATCCGTCGCTAAAAATAACCACTAATTTTTAAAAAATATTTTAAAAATTGAAAAAAACTTGTACAATATCGATAATAATTTTAAAAACCCTGTTCAATCAGCAGTATAATACTCAATCTCACGCATATATCACACATTTATTTCAATAAAAACAAATAAAAGTTTTTCGACGGGTACATAATAAATATTGTTTATACAACACAAAAAATTATTTTCAAAGTTAAATTAATTACAATCAATCCTCCTGATCATCATCATCATCAACACCAACTGCATTATGACTACCCCCGGCTGCACATTGTGAAGAAGTCCCGGCCTGCAAATATAAATTAAACGTTAACAAGGTTGTGTAACCGTTAATAAGAGTGCAAATATAAATATAATTCCCTCAACACCATAACACAACAACACAACATAATACACCATAACATCACAACACAACACCACAACAGAACAACACACAACACAACACAACACAACACAACACCACAACACAACACAACACAACACAACAACAACAACAACAACAACAACAACAACAACAACAACAATACAAATCCCCCCACCATGACCAAACCCCCCACAAACCAATTACATAACAACCACCACAACACAACACCACAACCAACCAACCAACCCACCAACCAATACCACCACCACTACGCACGCACGCACCATCAACACAACCATCATATAAAAACATTACAAGTATATATTTTGGGCTTTGTGTTAGGGTTAGAGTTAGGGTTTGTGTGTAACAGTTTGTATCAATGTGTATCGATGTGTATGATATCATTTAGTCACGAAGAAAATTCATAACTAAGTAAAAATTATATATTTAATTTATTTAATTAAAAAAGTAAAGTATATATATTACCAGATCCGACATAAACCGTCTCCTATATGCCTCCTGAGGCAGAGTCGACATGAATTATGTGAACTCCAATTCTCTCTGCTCCCGACGCCTCCGTTCTTTCTTTGTAATCCGCTAATATGTTGTTTGATGCGACTGCCAATCTTCAATCACTTTCAACCGCTGCTCCATCGAGTCTTGATATGAACTGCTTCCTGGTGTTCCTGGTGGTGCTGCAGACTCGTAGGTGCTGCCTCTGCTCGGATCCTCTCCATTGGTATCTATTCTTCCTACTCGGTCCAATGACCGTCTCGATGATGGAGTCCCCCTCCTCTCTACTTAGCCGGGCAGGAGTGTTAGAACCAACCTGAGACTGAGACATTTGCTCCTGTACCTTGGCATATAATTTCTCCTGCAATATATCAAAACAACCCAGGCAAGTCGACTTACTAATGATGCATTGTTATGAAATTGAATATATAAATGAACTGCTACTTACAGCCAGATCCTTATTCTTTGCTTTCTTCTCTTCATCGGCGTAATTCGGGCTCCAGGAAGTCAGAATATGATCTGCAAAATGTCTGAGATCTCCCCTTTCCTATTTTATTCAAATATATCATTAACCCATAACACATAAAGCAATATTCAACTTGACAACTTAAAAGTTAATATATTATATACCTCAAGCTCCAATTGATGATAATACTGGCTGAAGGACCTGGAGCCCCCGTGATGCTCGTAACTGCGGGGCGCGTTGTGGTTCCTCCTTGCTTTTTTAACTTGAGCCTGCAAAACAATATCAAATCAAAACAATATAGAAATTCAAAGAATAAATTAAAAATATATACTTCAATAATACCTGAATTTCAGTCATGTCCCAGTAATCACAAAGTGCAAAAAAATCTACACCATCCACACACTCGTCAAGATGCCAGAATCGCTCCCAATCTTCTGTTATTTGAACAAAATATTTTTTCTTCATCTCAAACCGCCATCTCTTGAACGATAAATTGATTTGCGTGAAGCAGTAATTCCAGGCACAAATATTATCGTCAAGAAAGAAAAAATCGCTTCAGCATATAAAGAAAAAATAGATACAAATCAGTGTATTAAACATAATAATAAACTAAAATAGATACAAATCAGTGTATTAAACATAATAATAAACTAATAACTAATAATGATAAAAATTAAAATAAACGACTCACACATATATAGTATTAAACATAATAATAAACTAATAACTAATAATGATAAAAATTAAAATAAACGACTCACACATATATACCTCCAACAAGCCACTTCGATGAAAATTAAAATAAACGACTCACACATATATAAACTAATAACTAATAATGTTGAAAGCATTAGCAAAGACCCCGACAGGCACTCCGTTTTCCCATCGGATCACGGTCCTTTGATGAATATCAGGGATGAGGTTCTATTTCTTGGTAGCACTATTTCTGTTGCTAAAATCCCAATTTCCGCCGGCAAAACTTATTTGCTGATGGAAATATAGCGATGGAAATTTTCGTCGCTATATGTCATGTTATAGCGACGGAAATTTCCTTCGCTATATTTCCGTAGGCAAAACTCTATTTTCTAGCAGTGAAGTTTGAAAGGTTTTACCGGTAAAAACACTAACAATGCCTAAAATTTTCTCATTTTTGAGGGGTTCGCATGCAAAACCGGATCTTTTTCAGATTGGTATTGCTTCAGCTTTAAGTTGCTTATAAAATCAACTTCCATAACCAAGTTTCCCCGTTGCCAAAAGAAAACCTACAAATATAACCTGCTGAAAATAACCGTTTAATAATCATATATCAAAAGCTATTTTCAAAAGCAGATAAATTGTTTGCTAAAACTGCTCTTAAAATCGTTATAAGTGAAAATGACCAAAATACACATAGCTCTTGTTATTGATATTGAAAAATATTATTGAAAGTTAAAGGATATATATGACATATAAACTAAATAAATAAATAAAAAGAAAAAAAATACAAGCTTCCTTTAAATCATCCTCATGTTGCTATAAATAAAAACACCCGTTTAAAAGCAAAACCAATTTTAATAAATATGCCAAAAAAATATCAATATTGACTACTTCTTAAAAAATAAGCAGAAACGTCTAAAAAAGCAAATGCCAAACTGACACTTAATATAATATCATTAACAAAAGCTCGACCCAGATGAGCTTCACCACACATCTTTTCTCTGTGAGTTTATATATTGGAGCCATCCAATTCTTCCATTAGATAGGTTGGAAATATTCTAACCAGTATCTTTATTATTTATATTTCACTGACTAATTATGCAATCAATTAAGTTCATGACAAGCGAAGATTACTATGGATTTATGTGCATTTTGTAAATCATTTGAGACATATATGAGTCAGA